GTCTTCCTCCCTAAATGCCCACAATGTAAACACCTAGAAAAAGTGCAAAAGAGGGCATGCAAGATTATTCTCTCCCCTTCCTACTCCACATATCAAGAAGCGCTCAACACACTGACCCTTTCGACTCTCACTGACCATCACCACGACCTCATCTGCAAATTTGGTAGGCTTCTGCCGCCATCCTCGACACCGGCTCCTACTACGCCTGAGATCCTAGCCGAGAATTGCTGTTCGACACCACAACCGCATCCAGCCCACTCGTGCAGACAGTCGCTATAAAACAGCCAGTCCCAACCATTGTAAAAAGTATCAATAACTTGTAATAAATCAGTGTATTCACTCCCAGTAAACACTGCTCCTTACACTGTCACTATGTTGAAATGAACTGTAGTTTGAGCTTTTCCACATCTAGTTATTATATGTCTTATTTGTGTCACTTATGTTACTTGTATATTATTTGTAATTCGTAACCCATTCCCCAAATATGTAACTGTATATTTTCAGCCTTCTGGCTGCCAAGCTCTTTCAATAAACCGTTAATTATTATTATTATTATTATTATTAACCCATTCGTAACCCGGGGACTCCCTGTACTGTATACGGTATGTTCTGAACTGTAATTTTTGGGGATGTTCATTTCACGAATTTTTGTCTTCAAGATGTGTATTAGAGCCACCATTAACCCCTTCACTATGGGGAAGCCACTTTTAATATTAAACTTAGTTAATGCCAGGTGATTTTATTCAGCTCAAAGGGATTAACCCGTTGTGTACGGTGTTGCCTCTTGAGTTAGATAAAATTGTCTGGCATTAGCCAAATAAAATATTAAAAGTGGTGAAGGAGTTAATGGTGGCTTTGATACACATCTGTTGTTGTTTTCGATTTAGGTTTCAACTGCCAGGATTATTAAGTAAAGAGAAATTTTTTTAATCTTACAACAAAGAACTTTCAGAAATTTACACAATTCAGCCATAACTACAGTAACCATGGCTTCATTTGTATAGAAAGAAATTCATGTACTTACTGCAAACTTTATCATTGTCGTTACCGCAAGTTTACTAAGACTCACAGGTGTATGGCGCCCTGAAAACAAATTACAGTATATGAGCATAAATCGTGAGCAAGCAGGAAAGATAAAAGGTGTAAATAAAGAGCATTCTAAAATACAGTGTAAGGATGAGCATTCTAAAATACAGTGTAAGGATGTTAGCATGTTACAGTGAACACTCATGAAACTCAAACTTAAGAATTTAAGTTCAGATACAATTTAGCTTAATCTCTAAAGACATACAGTACCTGGCACATTAATTGAAAACTTATTTAAATTAACTAACTGTGCTTTTCAGTCTAAATTGCTTCGAAAAATCACAGCCAGTAGGAAGAAAGTTAACTGAAAAATAAGACTGACAAGATAAATACTGGACTGCAAGACGGTAGTGGCCAGTAGGGTTAAGACTATATACAGTGATAGTAAAGAAAATAGATTAAGCGAGATAGTAGTGACTAGTAACGACGTTAGTAAGAAAATAGACAAACTAAAGCCTAATAAGTCACCAGGTCCCGATGAGATATTTGCCAGAGTATTAAAGGAATGTAAGGAAGAGCTTAGTATGCCCTTAGCAAAATTGTTTAACATGTCCTTAAAAATGGGCGTAGTACCAGAGTCCTGGAGGATAGTGAATGTGATACCAATTTTCAAGAAGGGAGACAGATCACTATCCTCTAACTACTGTCCAATTAATTTAACATCAATTGTAGGCAAATTACTGGAAGCAATAATTTCAAACTCTATTCGAAATCACCTGGAGAAGCACAAGTTAATCAATGATTCCCAACATTGCTTCACAAGCGGGTGTTCATGTCTGACTAATCTATTAACATTCTTTTCAACTGTTTTCGAATCAGTGGACGAGGGGGCACAATTATGATGTGGTATATCTTGACCTTAGCAAAGCCTTCGACAGAGTCCCCCACGAAAGACTAATACGAAAACTGGAGGCTCATGGAATTGGAGGAGATATTCTAAAATGGATTAGGGCGTAGTTACAGGACAGGAAACAGCAAGTAAGCAGTGATGGCACTAAATCCGATTGGGGTAACTTCACTAGTGGAGTACTTCAAGGCTCAGTACTTGGACCATTACTTTTTATTATACAGTATATACATAAACGACATTGATATAGGTGTAGACAGCAACAAAAGTAAATTTGCTGATGACACTAAAATAGGGCATGTAATTAAATCTGATGTGGACTCTGCAAAACTACAGGAAGATCTAAACAACTTTTTTGCATGGTCTTAAAAATGGCAGATGAAATTCAATGTGGACAAATGTAAAGTACTTAGTATAGGAGAAGTATACAGAGAAACCAGATACCAGATGAACAACGTTGTTATAGAGAAATCCGACTGTGAGAAAGATTTAGGAGTACACCCTATAATGATAAGTAGGAATCTTAAACCAAGTATATCACCTGCTATAACAATAAGACCTGTGGTGGGTGATGATAATATATGTCATCTGTCATAATGTTGGACCCTTATTGCATTGCTTTATGGATGATGCAATGCTTATCTTGATCACACAGATACCACATATCACAGATAACATGTTTTTTCGTGACAAAACATTATCAATGATGCAATAAAACCACTGCAAATTGTACAGCGGAGATAGATTACTTTAATGCCAAAATACTAAATAATATAAGATCATGAAGTAAAGGAATACAACAAGGTTACAGTAATACAGGATACTCAAGAGTAAATTACAGTACTGCAGTGTACCAACAAAATATATCTGGTAATAAAGGAATAATTGGCAGAGAATGAAGGAAAACTCTGTGACTGCTCATGATTCTGACCAATATACTGGATAGAATAGCAGGAAGAGATATTTAATTGATAAAAGTAAGTAACTGTACTATTTACTGTAACTAGAATTAGTAGTTAACAAATGACAGTTCTTTACTTTAACTAAGCAATTACCCTGAAATATGTTCAGATTTCTACAGGTTGAAAACATCTTAAAAAATATAGCTCATATACCTGGTTTATCATTTTACATCTGCTTTTCTTTTATTGTATAGTTGATAATAATAAAGAGAACTGTGCCATTTTTTCTTTCCAGAGAGATTTCATTTAGTACATTGTTAACTCATTATTCTGGAAAAAATAGATTGTAATTCAGAATTAATATATAATATTATCATAACAAAAACTACAGCACATAAAACCCTAGAGTATGACATATTCTAAAATCTTGGCTCTATTAATGGGCGGTAGTTACCTCCATTTAGGTGTTGAATGAGGGTCAGAAGGATTTATCTTTTATGATTTTTGATAACTTTCTTAAGTTTCGTTTTTCAGTACCGTATTATTTTGGTGATTTTAGAAATGAAGGGGATTGCAAATTTCGTAATAACATTGTGACAATTTTCTCCTGAACAGTATTTCATATACCGGTAATATAAATGAACATTTACATAGAGGCATTAGTTCACCCGGGCACAAGTTATTTTATAATGACTCACATCAAGGCCTGGGGGGGTGAAAATATAACAATAATAATAATAATAATAATAATAATAATAATAATAATAATAATAATAATAATACAGTGACCCCTCGTTTAACGAACACCTCGGTTAGGTTAGGTTGGATGAGGCTCGGTCAGGTTACAACTGGTGAGGTCAGGTCAGGTTAGGTTAGGTTGGATCAGGCTCGGTCAGGTTACGACTGGTGAGGTCAGGTTAGGTTAGGTTGGATCAGGCTCGGTCAGATTACGACTGGTGAGGTCAGGTTAGGTTAGGTTGGTTCAGGCTCGGTCAGGTTACGACTGGTGAGGTCAGGTTAGGTTAGGTTGGATGAGGCTCGGTCAGGTTCACGACTGGTGAGGTCAGGTCCCAGGTTAGGTTAGGTGGATCAGGCTCGGTCAGGTTACGACTGGTGAGGTCAGGTGAGGTTAGGTTAGGTTGGATCAGGCTCGGTCAGGTTCAGACTGGTGAGGTCCAGGTCAGGTTAGGTTGGTTAATTTTTTTACCATGTTTTGCCCAATTATCTCCCTCCGATCCAAAAGCCCTGCCCACTCTGAAGACTCAAATTATAGGTCACAAAGGATCAATAACCGCTCCCATTTTATTACAGTATTTAAGGTCATCAAAAACACTAAGGTCATCAAAACACACTAAAGATCCTCAAAACACACCTAAGGTCATCAAACACACCTAAGGTCATCAAAAGAAACACACTAAGGTCATCAAAACACACCTAAGGTCATCAAAAAAACACACCTAAACACACCTAAGGTCATCAAAACACACCTAAGGTCATCAAAACACACCTAAGGTCATCAAAACACACCTAAGGTCATCAAAACACACCTAAGGTCATCAAAACACACCTAAGGTCATCAAAACACACCTAAGGTCATCAAAACACACCTAAGGTCATCAAAACACACCTAAGGTCATCAAAACACACCTAAGGTCATCACAATAACCTACTTTAATTACTAGTACACACCCAGCAGGTCCACTACCAAATACTTGAGCAGAAAAACGTATTTTTTTTTTAATTTCCGTGTAATTATCAACTAAAACTTAACCTTCAGGACATTATAACTATCAAAAGGAGTTAATAAATAATTATAATAAATATATACAGTATAATATAACACCATTACTAAACTATATTGTAATAATCTAATGAAATTCTTCTATACACACATTACCACGGTATATTAAACTAATTCAATTAATCTTATGTAGTAATTATATAACTTATAATAGTACTTAGAGTTAATTAAACACAGTAGCACCTGATTAAAGACTCACCTGAGGGAAGACTCTTCACCCTCACTCCCTCACAGTCAACTGATGTTAACTTATAAAAAACCTTTATTATCAACTATTTATAATGTTAATATTAGATTTTATTTAATATTAATATCACTAGAGACTAAATATAAGTTAAATAACACAATGTATATGTAGTTTATACTCAATATTAAGGACAAAGCTTAATGTTCCAACGTTTCCTTAACAGCTGTGTTGTTAAGCTGTGGCGCCACATACAAAGCTTACAGAGGAGAAAAAACGTCTTTAAGCGTTTTATATCGTTATTAACAGAAATGGAGTGTAATGAGACTAATACTCCTAATTTAGTGTTACAATGTATTAGAGAATTAGATTTAAGGTAAGTTTGATGTGTACAGGGTGACAGGTACTATAGGCCCTAGTCTAAACTACTAGATATTTGGCCATGATTGGTAAGTTATTTCTAATGATATTTTACCGTGAGTGTCCTCTGATTGGTTGCATTTGACATTTATTTCATTGTGAGTTAATCTTTGTGTAGCTGTGAACATACTTAACCATATTTCTGTTGTGTATGGACCTTATCAGTATAAAAGAGGTGATATTTACTGGAACCTATTAGAACCTGACCTAATTAACTAAAGAAACTGGAACCTATTAGAACCTGACCTAATTAACTAAAGAAACTGGAACCTATTAGAACCTGACCTAATTAACCAAAGAAACTGGAACCTATTAGAACCTGACCTAATTAACCAAAGAAACTGGAACCTATTAGAACCTGACCTAATTAACCAAAGAAACTGGAACCTATTAGAACCTGACCTAATTAACCAAAGAAACTGGAACCTATTAGAACCTGACCTAATTAACCAAAGAAACTGGAACCTATTAGAACCTGACCTAATTAACCAAAGAAACTGGAACCTATTAGAACCTGACCTAATTAACCAAAGAAACTGGAACCTATTAGAACCTGACCTAATTAACCAAAGAAACTGGAACCTATTAGAACCTGACCTAATTAACCAAAGAAACTGGAACCTATTAGAACCTGACCTAATTAACCAAAGAAATCTACCTACTTATTATTATTATTATATTTTCGCCCCCAGGCCCTGTTGTAGGCTAATCCCATAAAAAAAAACCCTAACCTAACCTAACTTCCTTGGCGGGAGGGGCTGAACCCCCGTCATATTAAACAAAAACCATACGGTAAAATAGCATTAGTAGGAACTTAGCTAGTCACGGCAAAATATACACTACCATATATATATATATACACAGTGAACCCTCACTTTACGCGGTTAATTCAACCCACGGCGGCCCGCGTAAAGTGAACAACATAACATATGGTATTAATTGAAATAGAGACCGGGCCGACCCCCAAAATCCACTTTTTCAGACACAATACCTACGTTGTAGTAAAAATAACTTCTTAATTTTATGATGGTATGCACACACAATTAATAATTAAGAGAAATATCAATAATAATAGGTTTTTTAACACTTACATTAGTAGAAAAGATGGCTGGGCACACGGGGATGGGGGGTTGGTTCCGAGGCAGAGGGCAGATTATTGGCCCTCACCTGTATCACTTGTATCAATTGTATCACTATACATCACAGAGGCTTGCAGGGCCTCTTTGTCAAACCCCTCAAAGTCCATATAAGTCCATATCCTCACTATCATTATCACTATCACTGACTTGGGCCGGCTGTGGTGGGTGGCGGGTGAAGAACTCGGTAATGTTTTAATGACTGGGCGACCTTGTGCGCACCCTGCTCGCGCCGCTTACACAATCCAAGCTTCCTTGAGAGGATATCTGAATAATGACACAACCAGAATGTAACCCTCTGTAGTACTGCATATAAAGAGGGACTTGGTAATGGGTTCCACCAGAAAATGGGATATCAGAATCAGTCCTCCATTGCTGATATAATAAGCCATTATCTTTTAATTTAATATAATTTTATATTTATAGAAAACTACAGAAGACCCTAGAGAGTGAGCCGATTGTGGATTTATTTATTGGGAAGGATGGTTCAACGGCACTACACTTAGCTTCCTCATTATCTGACGAGGCTGACTGCCTGACTGTGGCAGAGGTTCTCCTTGCTCATGGCGCTAACCCCAATATTCCGTAAGTTTATGTTCAAATGTTTAAGTCTTTTAACAATGTATTCTTGTGATTAAATACTGGTATAGTACTACAGTAATTTACTGTACTTTGGTAATTGTAGGTTTACTGTTAGTAAACCTCCTAATACTGAACTGATTTATGTTGGCTGTGTCAGTTAATGGGAGGGTTTCTTTTAGTAATTTATACAATTGAAGCCATGGACAGCCTTAGTTTTGCACTTTTAATTATTATACTCATGATCTGTTTTCCATAAAATAATTTGTGTTACTCTTGCAACCATGCCTTTCAAAAGCATTTATTTTTTCAAACAGAAGCACTGAGAAATCAATAAAATTACAGTAACATGAAATACATGTACAGTACATACAAATACAGATGGTCCAACTTTACTCTTGTAGATAACCAACATACTGTAAAGAATGAAAAGAAAAAGAAGGGATGTACAGTACAGCTACATCTTATAGTACTGTACAGCCTTAAAACCTGCCACGCTTTTCTCCTCCTTGGCAATGTATCAGTCATTTTCTTGTCATATAATTTAGTCTCATCCACATTAAACGCCTGCTTTCATTTAACTGGACTGGTAATGTGGAGTATGATTCTATTTCAATCATCAGTTATGAAGATGCTGAATTTTTTGTCAAACTTTAATCTGACATTTTCAAGCTGAACAAATACACTGTTACAGAAACAAGAAAGGAAAGACGAGTGTACATATTGCCGCATCAATGGGCTACAACCGCTTGTTGGATCTCCTCCTGGTGAATGGTGGTGACCCTCTGCTGGGTGACAAGATAGGACAGTCATCTGTGGACTATGCTCATCATCACCACCAGCTGGAAGTTGTTAAGCAGCTCAACAAACTCCTGGACACTGAGAATTATGGTGGAGCACAAGAAGACTCTCAGAGGATTATTTTCTCTTTCTGTAAGTTATAGAATTCTCCGGTGGTTGGCCAGGGCTGGGCCTGTGGGAAATGAGGGGTTAGGGGAAGTGACCCCTGTGAGACATACTGGACCTAAAGTCTTATAATGTACAGTTCAGAAGTTAGAAATACCCCTATAAGTACAGGTACTGTATAGGGTGTATCCTATACACCCAGGATGCATTCTTGGAGAAGAGAATGATGAGTCAATTGTAAAAGGGGTCACCACAGTATAGTTAACCTCAAGATACGATGGGGTTAGGTTCCTGAAAAACCCATTACTAGGTGAATTATCATAGATAGGGAGCATTATAACATGGGGTACATTCCCAGCCAGTCCCCCAGCACGCATGTATAAACGACAAAACACTTCCTACAAAACAGTACTAATATCAGAAAAAACAATTAAACAACACTCACCTCATCCTGAAGAATAAGTCTGGTCATTATCACAAGTCCCCCTTGAGGCTAAGGGGACTCTTGTAGGGGGAGTGGAGACGTCACTCTGACTCCCACACAGCCTCTGGGGAGTCAAATGCTGCTTAACAATACCAAGCTTCACCTCAGAGACACAGTTGTCTTGGCCTTCCCAGACATGTTCAGAGTTCCACTGCTCACTTCACAGTCACTAAAACAAAGCAAACGATGATAACAAAAACAATGATAGCGGCCGACACTGCTCACATTTTCAAAACAATGGAGTCGACGCACCTTATACTGTAGCTACAAAAACACCGAAAATATCAGTTCACAGTCACCATAACACAGTTCAGTCTAAATGTTAGTGCTGTTCTCTCACTATAGGATCAGAAAAAACAACGGTGATGAGTACAATGTAAGATGCTGGCCGATAACTGTGGAGCAAAGCGATGGCGGGTTTACGATCATTAAAGAACTAAACGCAGGGTGCACGGGTTGTCCCTGTGGTGACACGTGGGTAGGCTGACATATGAAGGTAGAGATGCATGGTGTATAGGGTGAAATATTGTTTCCTTATAAAATGTCACTGACTTGACGTAGGAAAATATATTTTGCATTGCTGGAATCTTTGCAAGATATTGATTAATTTGAGTATGTATATACAACCCATAGTTTGCAATAAATATTTTAAAAATTCCAACCTATGGATATCAATGGACATTTTTTAAAGCAAATTTTTTATCTTATATAGTGAGATGGTCTTAATTTATGACCATCGTTAAAGCAAAATATCGCTGAACGGGATATTGTATCTCGAGGTTTACCTGTACAGTACCATTATACTTGTGTATATATATGGAGATGTGTTCCTAAAGTCATTACACTTAGCTATGGGTGACGTGAGAGCTTCACTTGGGTATTGATTTAATGAAGTGGTCTTGGCAGAAGTTTTTATTTTATCTGCATTCTTCATAATTGTCCTAATTGTCAACTTGGCCAATTTTAAAGAATTAACCAAGTACATCTGACAACTATCCACTTCCAACCATCTCAAAACTTGTATTTTATTATCCAAAGTAATGCTTTTTTTGGCACTTTGAACTCCTTCCCAACACTATCACTTGCAGACATTTTCAATTACTTATTATTATTATTATTGGGGGGGGGGGCAAATTTTCAAATTAATATCTGCAGAAAAAGTCATAAGGAGATATCTCTGTGTACTATATATCCACAGGTGGCCAAAATTTGTACTGATTGGCTGTGAGTGCTCAGTAGTCAAACCTCCCAAATCTGAATTGCTTGCAACCAAACCCTGTATGAATTCAGGAGAAATTTGAACTTTGGATACCTAAACATCATGTTTTTTTAATACACAATTTAAGTACTGTACTGTTTAATAATTACCCAGTATACACAAGTTACCCCAAATCCTATTTCAGTATTTTCTAAATTCTTGTCATCAGCTGTTGCTTCTTCACCACTCTCATGCCATCTACTAATGTCTAATTTCACCTGTGAATTGATATTTTTGCTGTTTCTTGGCCAATCTTTTTCCACTCATTATGTATGATTTTTAGTGATTTCTAAAAAAATATGTATGTACAATGTAAACAGCTATCACTACAAGCATCTCTGTGCTGTGCGGAAACTCTCTATAGAAGGGAGTTAACATTACTACTGTTAGGTTATGTTTGTCATTTTAATATTTCAGTGAGACGTGAGGTTGTTGAGCTGATGGGGTTTTGTGCAAGTGTTGATGAAGAGTCTGATGACCTCTACTATAGCTGTGATTCTGACGTTCACAGCAAGGTTGGTTCTTTTATTTAGTTTATTTAAGATGCTGTTTGTTTGTTGTTGTGTATTGTTAATTTATGTGAAGCGACAAGCATAAACCAGACTGATATTTAGGGCCTTGTAGTGGAAATACAGTAAAGTGTTTATTACAGCACTAAGAATGACTAAAACAACATTATATAAAGGGAGAGTTTGTGTTTGGATGCGTTTACTTTGGATTCTCTCATCCCTGCATATTAGCAGAAATATGCTTGAAAGAGTGAAAAAGTTCTCTCACAGAAATTGATGATTGCTTCACAGTTTTGATAGATAAATTATTGTACAGAATTTTTCAGGCTTGACATATTTCACACTTACATAATTTTAGATGTTCAGTACAGTAATCAGTTGGCACTACTTTACTAATTACTAATATCAGTACAGTACCTGGTGGTCAGACAATTATTTGTAGTAAATGTTTCAAATAATGTTATTGGGATTTTTTCCTCGAGACTGACAAATTATCAGTCATAATATTTGTGAAAAATTTTTTAATGGAACTTTTTATTCTATAAGGTGAAGTTGACATTACAGTGATCCCTCGGTTAACGAACGCCTCGGTTAACGAAATTTCGGTTAACGAAAAAATTTCGGTTAACGAATTCCTTACGATTTTTTCCCAACATGTTTTCGCCTGCTCACCAGCTGGAGTATTAGTCCGCCAATACAGTAATCGGTTTTAGGCTTAAATTCGTTACCATTTGAGTAAATATCAAGAAGGTTGTACAGTACTATTCAATAATTTTCCAAATCTTATATTAAAGTTTTTAGTCATTTTAACAATTATTTAACTGAAGTACAGGGAACTAGTTTTTAGCGCCCCAAACAGCCACTTGATTCACCCAGAATGGCGTCAGTGTGTGTCCCTGCTCAGTGGAGGAAGCTTCTTGCTTGAGACTCTCTTAAACATAAACTATTTTTACGTTTTTACAGTACAGTACAATTATTGGTCATTCTGAAGTTTATTTTACATTTTGACAATATATAATACAGTGCAGTGTTGATTTAAAGAAAATAATCTTGAATTACACCTAGTGAACTAAAATTTTATGGGTGAAATGGCAGCATGAAGCATGGGGTGATTTCTCTTCCACCCCCACTGCCTTCTCTTCTCCCTTCTCCTCCACCCCCATTCTAATTCCCATCATCATCATCATCAACCAGGAGCCTTCTACATGCACACCTCAAAGTAAGTGTACTTTACTGCATTTATTTTTAGTTTGTATGTAATTTTCGGTGAGCTGGAACCAATTACCCAAAATCCCATTGAAACAATGGTTTCGGTTAACGAACGACCATCTGGAACGAATTGTGTTCGTTAACCGAGGGACCACTGTATCTAAGTTTAGAAACATATAGTGATTATAAGGTACCCTAATGACTTTCCTTTGTTTTTTCTGTTATCTCATGTCCAGGAAGGAATTGAATGTCTCCCTTCATCACCAAACAAAGTAAATCAAAGAGTGAAGAATGACAGGAATAACGTCTCCCAAGGTGAATCATTGTCTCGGGAATTTGTCAACTTCAAACAGACTAAAGAGAGTAAAATAACGGAGGCAGCCAGAGTCCCTCACTGCCAACAGTCATGTGTGAAGGACATACCATCCTGGATTAGAAATAATGATTTTCTCAGACAATTAAAACAAGAGGTTGAGAAGTGTCAGACAGACAGCGACAGTGATCATGACTTGAGGTCCTTACGCACTTATATGGGGAAAAGGTTGAAACATGGTAATGTATCATTTCATGAACCTCTTGACTCTTTGGAGGAAGGGATGGAGTCTCAAAGTGACTCCCTTGATGAGTTTGATATTGCTCAGCTGACAATTGATATATCTTTCAGTACAGGCAGTGAAGATGAAACTAATTGTTTTAATGGAACTTACATTCCACGAAGTGCTAAAAACTTGTTTTCTTCTGATAGATACATATCAGATTCACTGCAAGACAGTGATGAAGAAACATTAATATCTGGTAATGAGTTTGACTGTACACCAACATATGTAATGGTACAACCAACCCATAATACATTTAAACACCCAGAAAAGAACAGTCACACAATATCTAGTCAGTCTTCCTCCAGTACACGAGAAGTGGAACACAAGTTTGATGGGGGAGAATTTGCTGATGTCACAGCACCTGAGAACAGTATTAAACCAGATGCTTCTACGACACTGAACCTCTTAAAAGCACCCAGAAAAAGGCGACCTTACATTTCAAAGAACAAAGAAAGGGTTTTCAAGTGCAAAAACAAATTTCCTAGATATCATGAGATGTTACATGCAGCACCAGTATCATCTATGGATAAAAACGACAAAGTGTTCAAACCAGCTGATGGAAGATTGACTGTGGGACACCAAGTTTTTCCTGCCCAGGTCACACCTCAGTCATCACTCAAGTCCTCTGCCACTAAGACTACATGCTCTAGTCACAGTTCATGCCAGTCATTAATCAGTATTGTTGAAGAATTTTTATATGAGGACTCTGAGGCAGGAGTTAAACTTATTGAGAGACGCTGCCCTACAACAGCAACAGTGTCCAGGTAAATCTAATTATTCCATTTTATTCATTTGCTTTTTATATCAATGTGATACAAACATCTGTTTATTTTCCATATTTTATGTAACATTTTACAATATTTGCCACAGTAACATCATTTACCTTGGTATTAGGTAGGATCCTGCTTGTTTGCTCTCATATTCCTTGTTCAGGATACAAATGGAGCCCCTCATTCTCATCCAAAATGAAGAGAACAATCAATATTATGATGACTGCATTAGAGTCTCTCAAAGAATATTAACATCTGAGTTTAAAGACCTATTTTTTATGTACTGTACTATATTGATATCACAGTACATTATTTGACAGAACCTTTTTCCTTAATTTCATGCTATAGCTTGAATGTGAGTTGTCTTTTATCATCTGCCTGTCCGTATTGTTTTTCTTCCCTTTGTAGCTACTTATTTCCATTTATCCTTTTAGTAAGACACTTGTGCATGTTGCTGAGAATTGACTGTACTGTATTGACATTCATAATACAGGCAGTGTATTATAGAATGAATATCAATTCACTAGAGTCGGTGCAGCGAAGAATGACAAAAATGATTACGGGACTTAGAAACCTTCCATATCAAGGTAGGTTAAAGAAACTAAACTTGCATTCCCTAGAAAGACGAAGAGTGCGGGGAGATATGATAGAAGTATTTAAGTGGGTGAAAGGAATCAATAAAGGCGATATTGATAAAGTTCTTATAATATCCGAGCAGGATAGGACTCGGAGCAACGGATTCATGTTGGATAAGATTAGGTTTAGGAGGGAGATAGGAAGGGACTGGTTCACAAATAGGGTGGTGGACGAGTGGAACAAGCTTAGCAACTTTGTAGTAGGTGCTGGAATGCTGGAGAGTTTTAAAAGGAGGCTAGATAGATTCATGGATGGTAGAGTGGTAATAACTCTCGACAGGAGCTGCCATGCACAGGCCAACCGGCCTATTGCAGACTCCTTATTTTCTTATGTAGGTACTGTAGTGTGGCCAGGTTTCGGTACTGTAGTGTGGCCAGGGTTAGGTACTGTAGTGTGGCCAGGGTTAGACAATTGTTCTGATTTTTTTAGGTATTTAAACTGTTATAAAGATTTGTATTAGTCAGGATATCAGGATTATTTTTCCCCGATACATTTCAGTAATTGTGGGATAAAATAGTTGTGATATGTGTTGTCAAGTACTGTAGAACATCTGCATATTGAGTAATCACAGTAATATTTTAAAGCCTTGATGTAGTTGTATGCTTTTCTTAATTACTAGAGGATTGTGATGCTAGTATAGTAGGTGTGCACTGCCCCAGTCTTTGAAACACTTTCTATAAAGTTAGTTTGGAAAATTATTGAATGTGTTACTTTGTACTTTGCAATGCAGGGTGGCCAGATTCTTCATCAAGTACATACCGACTCATCCTATAGTTATTCGTTCATAAAAAAATACAGTATTAAATTATAGAAGAGAATTAAGTTTTATTAAAAGGAAAACAGAGGAGACAGTTGGTTAGGCCTAGAATTTCACAGTTTCTATGGTTGCTGTTTCTATCTCATTTACCTTGATGCTCCTTCAAAAAAATATACTAAGTTTCAATACAGTACTCCAGTATAATTGTCTTGTACTGTTGTTGTTTAATTTGCTCTCAGTGTTGTAGTCCCTCGTCGTGGAGTAGTTAGACTCTTAATTTATAATAGTTCTTCTCCATTTGTTGTGGTATATTACTGTAGTTCCATACTGTATTTTACTTTCATACAGAATATAAATTTCTCAAGTCTATACTGTATATGGTAGCATGAACTGATGGTAACAACGAAGATATTCACATGACAGTGATCTCCAAATATAGTATTAAGAACAATATGTCACAGCTAAAATATTTCAGTGTCATAAGAAAATACACAGTGTTGGTTAATGACAAGTTGCATCATATTATATAATGTTTGAAAAAAAAATACTACAGTTCATTGCTGACATAAATGAACACTATGGTAGAGATATTTACCAAGATATTCTTTGGTCAGCATCATCAGTGGAGGGAGCAAAGCCTCAACACTCACCACACACACCGTTCCTCAAGCTCCGGACTCAAAGTATCCGTTCAATGGTTAGAGGATTCTGTTTCTGTTTTTTTCTTTATCTCTATATATAGCTACAGTATATTTATATTCTAATAATGAGAAATTTTTTAATTAAAATTTAGACAATAGGTGAATTAATATTTGTGTTGCTCAGTTAGTGTATCTTGGAATATACAACTTGCCTCAGAAATGCCTTACTGTTTAAGGTAAATATATAACTGTGTCCTTTGTTGTAGATGAAAGCCAAGACTCTGTAGGCCCACTGACAGAAAGTGTGAAGGCCATGGATGCTGAGGATCTGTGTGCACGCTTCAGGAACCTTGGTTATGTGCCAGGTCCTATCACCCCTTTTACCCAGAGGATCTACCAAAGGCATCTTCTCAGGCTCAGAAAGAATCCTCATCTTCTACAACAAAGTGATCACACATGTAAGTTAGTTTTAAAGCCTTTATTGAATGTAAAATATTATTACCTGGCAACTTGGTATAATATTTCATTCTTATACAGGCAGTCTTCATTACACAAATTCCTCTTTTGCATATTCTTACCTGTACAAAACTTCAGAAAATGGTGAATACTTTTCACTATGGGTTACATGTTTTTGCCGATATAGTATGCATTTTTTCTTGTCATACAAATTTTGAAAGTCATGTCCTGGCTACTTTGGACCACACCACTCCACTATAACTTCTGCCACTCCATCACACAGGGTTCACTAAGCAGGTACAGTAAATATTCTTTTGTCAACCTTGGGTGTCATGATGAGGACTTGTCCTTTTGATCGAGTAACTTTGTTTGTTGGTAATTTTTAACTTCTGCTTTGTTATATGAATGAAATCCCTAAACTTGGAAATTTAAAAATATTATTTGTAGCAGATGCTGAGGTGCTGTCAAAGACATCTTGGAGTATCCATATAGAGTATTGATCAGTCAGGGGTCTGTCTGGGTTGTGCATACAGTAGTTAGAACTTTAGAGAAGGTATGCATGGAAACTACACCCGCGTTCAACCCTCCCTCCTCTCACAGATAGGAGGTATGGCTGGCTTCTGTGCCAGTGTCCTCTCTCTGTGAGGGAAACCTATGTGAACTTTTTGATGTTAAATACACAATACAGTACAGTACTGCAGATGGGTAAGAAATTATCCTCTGCGATGTCTAAATTAACTGTTATGTTCGATTATAATGATTAATGAAGTGTATTCATTTAATAATGTATTTAGTGATGTTTTATACTGATATATTGAGCTGTCATGTCTTTTGTATTTACAGTACTTAGATTAGTTTTGCTTGCATAAGGTGTCTAAAAATCAGCCCTTAGGAAATGCATCTTCATGTACTTTACTTTATCCTCTTTACATTGGCAAAGCATTGGCAGGTCTTCTTGCACTCAATGTGCATAATTTAGGGCAATTTCTAAAGAAATAATCACATACAAGTACTGTACATGCAAATAAATCACTGTATGTGCACGTGATCCATGCACATGCTGGTTATCAGCATATACAAGTATGTACATATGTAAACAACTTTTGTTCCAAACACCTCTCTAAATCCTGAAGGTTCTAGTTCAGTTCGCTTGATTTGAATTTTTTTTCGTACAGTATTTTATAATATGGAAAGAAATTAAAAAAATAAGGGAACCGTTAATATTTAACTAAATACTGTACTACCATAATGTAATATATAAAGACAGTTTTAAACAGTTTTTCTGAATACAGGTACATGTTTACCTGTTTTGACAGTTCAAATTTTTTTTTAATCTGACAGACCTTCTGTCCCAAGCAATTGAGATTATGAAGACCCTACTGTATTACATTTCTTATTTAGCCATTGATTGAAGGTAAGTCATTCTAAGGGTAGGTTTATGGACACCGATAAAGTTGTAAACAAAATTAGCTATTTGTAGAGGTTTCAAAAACTTATCCATTGCAAATACCAAGAGATAAGAGTATTTAAATGTGACCTCTAGCAAGTAAGCTCAGAGCTGTTTATCATGTAAAGATCATTTAGTTTCATCATGGTACAATATATATAATCTCCCATACCTAGTAACCCCCAAGTATCCTCGTGAGCTTCGAGCAGCGTTAAAAAATCCCCCGTCAGGAAACTGTGAATCTTGGGCATCATTGGAGAGGGTTATGAGTGCCCCATTCTGCCAACCTGACCCAACACGACACTGGAGAAATGGTACCAACAAAACCTGTTTCAACTATCTGCTGTTAGACCCAAGGATTACCCAAGATCTGCCACTCAGGTAATATACGGAAGTTACTGGATAGCATTTTCTTATGATTCAAAGATGAGGAGTTACCATCGTTTAGGGATACTGTTCTACGACCACGTCCAATCGTAAGTGAAAACCAGAAGAGACTAGTCCTCCCAAAATCCTTTCTTGTGTATGCAGGTTGTAATGCCATCCAAACAAAGTAACAAAGTTGAAGACTGTTTTTATTTTGGTTGAGGGTGATAACCAGAATCATTAGATAAACAAGTTGGATTTTTCAGAAGATTGTTGAATAGAAAGTAGTGAAAAAAGAAGAAGAAAACAACTGAAGATTTTAGAACGAATAGTGTTCCTTATTTCTGAGTAAAAAAAAAATAAAGGTTTAATTTTGAAAAGTCGAAAAAGTGGAGGGGTGATTTTTGTGGAGTTTGTGAATGGAGCATTTTAAAGACTGATGACCACTTCTTTGTTAACCTATGGCCACCTATGTTCACCTATGGCCACCTATGTTCACCTATGGCCATCTTCTTTGTTTACCTATCTATAATCCTTTCTTCCTATCATGAGTTAGATCAAAGGGGAAAACAAGTGTCAAAGAAAAAGGGGAATATTAGTGATAAATGCAAGACAAGTTTAGAAATTAACAAGAAAAGGGTTAAGACAACAAGTAGAGATATCTTACAAATATATAGACGAATTACGGGGGGCACATTGTATTAATTTACAAATAGTGAATACCCCGTAATTCATACCCCTCAAATTCGAAACATCTGTAACACATAATTCATAATGTTATGCTGTTACGAAATATATATTACAAATTTCGTAATACTACAGTAGAATCCCAGATGTCTGGTATTCAGGCAGCTGGTAGATTCAAAACCAACCAGCACTAAAATGAAATATTAGCCATAATGGTAATTATTTGGGTCTTGACTCTTGCTAGTTTGGCACACAATTTTGGTCTCAATTTTGCTCAATATTTAAGGCTTAATGCAATGGATATAATCTTTTTTGTAGCAATGCTAAAAAAATTTTTGTTTTTCAGAGGATCTGTGATGGATGAAGTAGAAAGGCTACGTTGTTTTATTGCAGCAATTTTTTACATAGGGAAAGGTTCTAGAGGTCGGCCGTACTCTCATCTCTATGAGGCCATGAAGAAGCAGGATGATGGTAAGCAGGTAAGCTTGTACTGCTGTGTGTGCATGTTATTAAGGGTGGTGCTGAGTTGACCTCAGGTATAGGCTGCAAGAGGCCGCTCAGCATGGAGAGCTGCCATCAGGTAATCACGACTAATCCACGCAAATGTGGAAAATGACCACTAACTGTGGTGGTGATGATGACTACTGTACTGAACTGTGGTGGTGATGTTGACTACTGTACTGTACTCTATTTATATTGTGGTCACCAAAGGTAGTCATGATACTGAACATCTTCCTTTTTACTTCTGCTTATTAAGAAACATGTTAAAGATATGGTAGTGTTATTTTCTATCATTGTGAAGGAAATGACCCAAAGGTAAGGTTGGAGGCAACCATAAACTGGCATCTGGATACCATACTGTTTATTGTATTAATTCTAGTAAGTGCTTATTTCAACAAGTGTTAATGTACAAAGTAAATTATAGTAAATGTTTGCTTGTGCAGCACAGATGAGTTGTAGTGGTCCTGTAGCATAGATGACCCTGGGCCAGCTGGGTAACTCACTGCTCCCAGCATCAGAGTTCGTAGGATAATACTTTAACTCTTAGGTATCCCACACATTATTATCACCAATTGTCAAAGAAGTTGGTCCAGTGTGTATTGTTAGGAGGGGATAACAAATTAGAGGAAATAAAACCTAAAGTACTATACTGAGTATACAGTAAGTTCAAGAGGCAGGAACCACGTGTTTACTGAACGAGATGAGAAAATATAACACATCAATCACTTCCCGTGTCACTTCCAGCTCCTTGGTCTCAAACAGTGGGATTGATCACTTGACTCACATGACATGGGCATTACATATTGAGAAGGAAGTCAATTGGTGTACATGCAGAGGGGTGACCTCTTACAGTACAGAAAGTTACAGTAATACTGTACAGTACTTATACAGATATCAGCAAATGTTGTACACTATAAAGTAGACTTTTGCCAACCATGGATTTCCTAACCACGGATTCTGGGTATACATGATTTTTACTCTTCCTGCATACAGACTTTTCTCGACTTACGACGGGGTTCCGTCCCGACGACCAGGTCGTAAGTCGAAAAGGCGAAAATAATACTGTACATAGAAATTCTAAAATGGGTGTCTCTTTTTCTTCTCAGCACCACGAGAACTCTCACTTTATCTTGCCAGCCATTTTAAAGGGAATTACAAACGAAAATTTTGTCGGTACACAGCGCGATCACTAATGTTGGGACTTGAAAATACGTAAAGTGAAAAATATTTTATAAGACCATGGCCGTCGTAAGTAGAATGTCGTAAGTCGAGGAGAGACTGTATACTATTTCACCAACCACGGCATTGAATTTTGACTATCCGTGGATTTGTGTGTCGTCTTTATTTCTCAGCGGTCTAATGTATCCCTTTGTAAATGTGAGGAATGAATAAAAATAATACTAACAAATAAAGAAAAGAAAAAATATTGCATTGCCATCTGGCACTTGTTTCACTAAGGAGACAGGAGTGTGCCCCCCCCCCCCCATCCCGTTCTTCCTACGGTCATGGGCTAACTCCCATGGACATAAGAAATGTTTATTCTCTCTGTGTTTTTGACCTTACGCAGTTCGGTACAGTACGATTGATTTATCTTAAATCGTACCAAAGGAAAAATACCTTACCGTAATTTCGTACCTTACCTCAGATATACTGTACCTTCGTACCGTATTAGTACGATAAAATATCGTACCGTATTAGTACGATAAAATATCGTACCGAAATTTCGTACCTGATTCCATACCCCCAAACAAAATGTAGCCAAATTTAAGGTGTAACAAAACAATTATAATTATATTAACTTTAGTATTTTATTCTTAACATATTAATATTTAATATTCTAACATTAATGCTAAATTTCACATTTTACTTAATTTTCTGTCCATAGCCCACAAAAACTACATATTATGTGTTGCAACGTAACATCATTATAGCATCAATAATGTCTGCCTCGAGTCCCAGCCGACGTTCTTGCAATATATATCGCAAGCCGGAAAAAATTCATTCTACACTAGCTTGTGTGGGTGTCATCTGGCAGGGACACCCCCCCCCCCCATCCTGGGGCAATGTAATTTTGTGGGTCTCGCTGCCTCACTGAGTGTGGGCGGATCTGATCTGATATGACCTGACCTGAAGGCTGGAGCACACCTGCATCGCCCCAAGCTATTGCTCTGGCCCTGTGACCTCCCAACATTTGAAGGGAGTACTTTCGTACCATACCGAACTTTGAAAAAAATATTGAACCATAATATCGAACCGAACTTTTGTCACCCTCATAACCGTACCGTACTGTATGCTCTGCCTTACGATAATTATTTATTTTTTGCATATTCTGTATGAACAAGTGTGTGTGATTGTAACAGTAAAATAAAGAAGAATAAAATTATGTATAACTACCTGAAACTATGAGTTGAAAAATAACTATAACACAGCTTGGCCTTATAAGGATAGAGCTAGGGAGATGTAGTTACAGGGACAGTCTAACTTGGCAACCTGCCAAGTCCACACACATATACCGGTACATACTTTATTTTTCTTGTTTTATAGCAACATGGCATCTCCATGGATATGTACTCAAAAATTTTTGTTACTTGCCAATTTATATGAAGCTATTTTATATGTAAGTGACTCAAATTTAATAAATGTATAATACTGTACAGATGTTGTTTAGTTAAGGAACAGGCAACTTAGGCTTTGATGAGTGTTATCTGGAGCCATGTAACCTAACCCCCTATTTCCCGTAAGCCTTTAATCCTGCCAACCACAGTGCTTCTCAGGAAACCAAGCCCTGCATTTGGCAAGGGACTACTGTACTTATTTTTGTTTTGTATCTTCAGCAAAGTGAAAAGATTGACAGGATTCGTGACATCTGGGCAGAGGGTGTGGGTGTGGTGTCACTGCATGTCTTCCAGAACACCATTGCTGTGGAGGCATGGACAAGAGAGGCTGCTATGATCTCTGCTATAGGTAGTTATAAGGAATTTTTATAATGTCAATTTTCTGGTATAACTTGACTTACAGTCTGTTTAATGGGGATCATGCCCAGGACAGAATGATAATTCAGCGATGCATTTTAAAGTTTCATGGCTGCCTTTGATTAAGATCATAGATACAGAATAATTACCTGTACCAGTATTTTGACCTCAGTAAATTTGTTGTCAAGAAACTTTTGCATGAATTTGAAATAATGGACATTAGCTATTGCTGGATGTGTTTACTTTACTTTAGCAGTTTTAATTAATATTTTGATAGGTGGTGTGACTGTTAATGCTACTGCCAGTAACTGATGTTGCTGTAACTATACCACTGCTATATTCCCTTCTGCTGTTCTAATTCTAACTGTACCTAGTACAGTGACCCCTCGGTTAACGAACTCAATCCGTTCCAGAAGGTCGTTCGTTAACCGAAAAGTTCGTTAACCGAAACCATTGTTTCAATGGGTTTTTGGGTAATTGGTTCCAGCTCACCGAAAATTTCCAAAATTCAACAAAAATGGTAGAAAAGTTCACTTACTTTGAGGTGTGTATGTAGAAGGCTCCTGGATGATGATGATGATGGGATTTAGAATGGGGGTGGAGGAGAAGGAAGAAGAGAAGGCATTGGGGTGGAAGAGAAGTCACCCCATGGCGCCATTTCACCCATAAAATTTTAGCTCTCTTGTGTAATTCAAGATTATTTTCTTTAAATCAACACTGCACTGCATTATATATTGTCAGTATGTAAAATATATTTCAAAATGACCATTAATTTGCTTGGAAACACAGAAAAAAAGCATTTAGTTGAAGAGAGTCTCAAGCAAGATGTTACCTCCAGTGAAAACAGAGAGAGACTAACGCCTGTTTGCTGTGTTAAGAGGCTGGATGCCGCGCATTAAACTAGTCACTTTACCTTCAATTATGTTCAATAATTGTTAAAATGACTAAAAAATTGAATATTAAAACTTTTAAAATTATTGAATAGTATAAACTTCTTGATATTTACTAAAATAGTAAGGAATTTAAGCCCTAGAACCGATTAATGTATTGGCGGACTGATACTAAAGCTGGTTGCTCGGTCAGTGCAAGCGAAAACATGTTGAGGTCGGTTCGTAAGAAATTTGTTAACCGAATTGAAGATCCTTATGGAAGGCAGTTCGTTAACCGAGGCGTTCGTTAAACGAGGGGTCACTGTATTTTACCTATAGTAAAGGCTTTTAGGTGTCCCTCTGCTGCTACAGGGTGTACTGTATACACTCCTCCTTACATATTTTCTTAGAGCTCACCTGAATGCTTGCATTACAACAGCAACATTTTCCTCGCTTCTTGTTGTACATGGTTTTCCACATGTGAGGACATCATTCCTTTTCTTTTCCTTTTTTATCCTGCTCAGTCTGTTAGTCAGGAGCAAGTGAATGTAAAATATACTTTAGATTGATCTTATCAAATAATCTTGTAACTCCAACAGGACTTGAAAATCTATGCAATACCATCCAGGGGACATTTTATGGGTTACCAAGCACATGGCGCTTAGCTGAAAGGCGCCAACTTGGGACTCACCTCCTCCGCCGAACACTCAATATCTTCATGCAAGAGGGAGAACGACAGTTGAGGCCTACTGATTTGCCCCTTCCAACATGGATGAAATGATGTTAGCATTAACAGATGTTCCTCCACATGTATGGAGTTGTGGCCTTTATGTCTGCTAGCAGTAGAAAGAATGGTTTAAAAATAATTTTAATTCAAGAGGACTCTTTCCTCTATAATTTTAGAAGGTTAATTTTATCTATTACTGTACAGGTAGTACCAAGTATGTAAAGATAGATATGAGAACCTCCAAAGCTCCATGACAAATATGATCTTAGTTTGATGAATAATTTTATATTTTTTAGATGATTACTATGACCAAAACATGAATTGGTGTAGCTGTAGCATATTAACCAGGCTTAATGGTTTGGGTATACAGCACAGTATCATAATACAGTACAGTATACACATATAAGACCTGTATAATAGATTAGGTCATGTCAGTGAGCTCTTTGACTTTACTATTGCTGAAGTACTACTGTACAGGGATTGAGAACAAAATATGTATGAAGGTGTTAGAGTTTTATTATATCTCTTCTCTATTTTATGTTACACAACTTAGTCTTGTATTTAGATGTTTTTCTACAAGAGAAAGTATTATATTTGAAAGATATATATATATATATATATATATAATAATATATTTGAGATGTACTATACCTGAAAATTTTTAAGCTATATAAAATGAATTTTTATACAGTAGACCCTCGCCAATGATGGATTTCCCATCTGTGGATACCAGACATCTATGGTTTTTACTTTGTATACCATTTCACCAACCTCGACATTGAATTCCGAGTATCCGTGGATTAATGTGGCATCTTTATCCCTCCGCGGTCTAAAATGTGAGGAATGAATAAAAATAAAAAAAATACTGCATTGCCATTTGGCAATTGTTTCACCAAAGAGACAGGAGCACACCCCCCCCCCCACAAACATGGGTTACCGGGTAACTCTTGCGCCTGTAAGAAATGTTTACAGTATTCTCTTTATGTTTTTGATCTTATGTAAGAATTTTTTCTCATTCTCTATGAATGATTATGTGTGCATGTAATAGAAAAAAATAACATCCAGTAAAACCTTGATTAACCACCCACATATGGGGGGAAGGGACCGACGGATAATCCAAAAGGTCGGTTAATATTAAATAAAGTCTACGGAAATAAAACATACCTTTTCAAAGTACCTTTCCGTAACCTACCTCACTGAAGTCCCTCTATTCATTTTTGTTCATTTGACATTCATATTGCAATAGCATTTGCTTTAAAACATTAACCACTTTAGTAAATAAATATGAACTAGCACAAAAACCATGAATTATCATAGGAAAAGTCAAAGAACATAATACAGTCAACCCTCACTTTACGCGGTTAATTCAACCCACGGCGGCCCGCGTAAAGTGAGAAACGTGTAAAGTGAACAACGTAACATATGGGATTAATTGAAATAGAGACCGGGCCGACCCCCAAACTCTACTTTTTCAGACACAATACCTACGTTGTAGTAAAAATAACTTCTTAATTTTATGATGGTATGCACACACAATTAATAATTAAGAGAAATATCAATAATATTAGGTTTTTTAACACTTACATAAGTAGAAAAGATGGCTGGGCACACGGGGATGGGGGATTGGTTCCGAGGCAGAGGGCAGATTATTGGCCCTCACCTGTATCACTTGTATCAATTGTATCACTATACACCACAGAGGCTTGCAGGGCCTCTTTGTCAAACCCCTCAAAGTCCATATAAGTCCATATCTTCACTATAATTTTCACTATCACTGACTTGGGACGGCTGTGGTGGGTGGCGGGTGAAGAACTCGGTAATGTTTTGATGACTGGGCGACCTTGTGCGCACCCTGCTCGCGCCGCTCTCCGCTTAAAGGGGTACACGCACCGCGGAATGTGAGCATTCCGGTTTCGGCAGGGTACCGCGTAAACGTGGAAATGCGGAATGTGGGACTGCGTAAAGCGAGGGTTGACTGTACTTTAATAACAAAACTTTTATTAATGCAGTACTGTACGGCACATAAGCAGTATCCAAAAACCTGAGAAAAGAATATAATAGTATTTTTTATTTTATTGCCCATTTATTTATTTATTTTAGGGGTCCGGGATCAGAGGTAATCTGAAAGTCGGTTAATCAAGGTTTTACTGTACTTATATCTATCCAAAAAACGAGTTGAAATATAACAATAACACAGCTTGGCCTTATAAGGGAAGAGCTAGGAAGATGTAGTTACAGGGACAGTCTAACTTGGCAACCTGCCAAGTCCACACACATATACCCATGTTCTTCACTTTTCTTGTTTATATCAACATGGCGTCTCCATGGAGATGTACTGTAAGATTTATATTGCTGTTTAATTTATATGAAGCTATTTTATATGTATGTGATTCACACTTGATTAAATGGACAATACAGGTGTTGTTTAGTGAAGGAACAAGGAACACAGTTAGGATTTGACAAGTTATCTGTGGCCATGGAACATAACCTCATATTTCCCATAAACCTTTAGTCTTGCCAACCACGGGGTTTATCAGGGACTTACCCCACATGTCTGGAGAGGGACTACTGTATGCCCAAAAAATTTTACGTTGAAATTATGCTAATTATGTACGTACTTGCGAAAACTTGCGTATTTTTTAGATGTTACCTAAAAAAAAATATATATACTGTATATACAGGTTGTACCTCTCTAGTCCGGCAACCTCGGGACCTGACCGGTGCCGGACCATGGAAATTCACCCTTTTCCTGGATAGATAGTGACTTGTGCTTATGCTTGGAAGCACTAGCACCACTTTCTCTGCATCATGGTCTCTTTGAAGACATATTGAAGGGTTAAATGTCGTATAGTAGCTTCTCAAATTTCGCGAGTTTTTAATTCAACGTATTTTATTGGAACACGCACACACACAAAAATAAATAAAAATATTGACGGCGGAAACTTGAATTTCGACGGGTTTGAACGGCCCGCCAACGTGCATAATCGTGTAAACAGCGTCATTTCTCTTATGTACAAAAGATTCATTATTGTTTATTACTGAATGTCTTTTTTATTGAATTAATGTTTATGTGTGCAAAATGAGCAATACAATTCATTAATAATACGTAGAATATTAAAACACACGAGGAAATGACACAGCATTGTTTTCGTTGATTACAAAACCAGTGACTGACTGGTTCTACATATACAGTAATCGGTTTTAGGGCTTAAATTCCTTACTATTTTAGTAAATATCAAGAAGTTTATACTATTCAATAATTTTAAAAGTTTAATATTAACTTTTTTAGTCATTTTAACAATTATTGAACATAATTGAAGGTAAAGAAACTAGTTTCTGGCGTGCCATCCAGCCTGTTAACACACCAAACAGGCGTTAGTTTCTCTCTGTTTTCAGTGGAGGTAACATCTTGGTTGAGACTCTTCAACTAAATGCTATTTTTTCTGTGTTTCCAAGCAAATTATTGGTCATTTTGAAATATATTTTACATATTGACAATATATAATACAGTGCAGTGTTGATTTAAAGAAAATAATCTTGAAATACACCAAGAGCACTAAAATTTTATGGGTGAAATGGTGCCATGGGGTGACTGCTCTTCCACCCCAATGCCTTCTCTTCTTCCTTCTCCTCCACCCCCATTCTAATTCCCATCATCATCATCATCCAGGAGCCTTCTACATACACACCTCAAAGTAAGTGTACTTTTCTACCTTTTTTGTTGAATTTAGACAATTTTCGGTGAGCTGGAACCAATTACCCAAAAACCCAGAAGTGTGTTGTAAAATGTTATATTTTGACGTTACACCCTCTTGACTCGTCCCCATCGAGTATCGATAGCTGCCTTCGGGCAAGATGTTCTAGACAGGATGTCTTTAATACATCCGGATTAATATCCGAGAGCAGGACGCGCCAGTGACAGCGAAGTCATTGATTCGCCCTCGAGCACCGAGTCCAGCTGATGCCCCGAGTGTAGCCGAGCTGCATTTGTTTTGAATACCAGTGGTGTAAGCCTAGTGTACTCATCCTGACTGTATGTGTTATTGTGGATGGGTTATTGGAAATACAATGGTCCCACGTTGAGTATTGGAACCATGAATATTACTATCACCAGCTTTAGATTTTGTTATATGACGTGGGTGAACCAGTTATACTCACGGTTGATATGTGCTGGTGTACATCCATGCTTGTTCACCAGTAATATGATGCTACAAGTACTATAATAACACCCCTGTGTGCTAGTGACAAGTATATGGTGACTACCATTCTAGTATCACTGTTGTATAATAATACCCTTGAGGGGATATAATTATTGAATGCTATAACTGATATATAAAGAAATATTTTTGCTACTTATGAAGTACGATCCATTGGTCATTTCTGTTTTGCTAAGTGTTACAGCAACAATCAGTAATTGAACCTAAATGTTAATGTTGTGAGTGAAGATTCAAATTGTCACAGTATTCAGATTATATTTTAATAAATAATGATTCAGTATACTACAGTAATGTGTGTATCACTACTCATTCCTTTTAACAATGGCCATCCCTGAAAATACACTTGATAACTCATGTGACTAACTCCCGTGTCTACCACTTTAATTGAGAGGCTAATTGTAGAACTTATACAGTATTCTACAGAAAAGCCTGGGTGGTGGCAGCTGTAGGTACAGTATTTAAGAATAGACAAGGTGACTCTCCCAGGTTAACCCACAAAACAGAATATAACTACTGGTAAGTACATCTGAAAATAAAGTATGTGAGAGGAAATAAACAAATAAGTAAGAGCACTGAAAGAAATACAATAAATACTATGAGAAAATTAATTAAAAGTTAAAGAAAAGAAGAACTTAGAAACAAGAATAAAAGAAATATAACCAAGAAAGTTAGATAAATAAAGCTAAAGTGCCGACTCCAAACATTAAAAGTCACATATATTCCACAGTAAAACACTTGTACAAAGTGAGATACAAAGTAGTTATTATATATAACTTTATTTAGATCTCACAGGTTATAAAGTTTATTGGTACTAGTGATGTCACGAAGCTTCGCAACCATGGAGCAACCACATAAATTATCACAATTGCACGAACCCACGCGATTGAGAAACAATCACAAACGAAGGTTGAGAGCTGAGATATTAATTGGAGAGTGGGGCCCTCCAACCACTGTGCTGCCTCTATGAACAATAATAGATACAGTGATATATCTTGAGTAACTTGCTTAATTACAGGTGACCATTTGTGACCTTTTTCACACATGAGTATAAAAAAGTAGGAGTATTGACCAATCTGATGAGCAATAACCTGTTGTCTTTCCCTATTAAAAAAACATAATTTTTAGCAAAGCATGACTGTACTTTAAAGTACAAAATTGTACTCAAATGTACTAAGTTAATAACTAAAATTTTTATGACGAGTGCAAACTATGGGATGTTTATACTCAAATTAATTGCTATCTTGCAAGGATTTCAGCAATGTAAGTTATAGTCTGCTAAGTTAAGTCTGTGATATTTTATGAGAGAAAACTTAAACTCCCCGATCCCTTCTCCCTCCACTGACAACTAATCTCCCCTCACTGGCTGTGAACACCCCACCTCCTCCTCCCAGCCAGCAGCAGAGGCGAGGTTGTGGTGATAAGGATTTTACAGGATGAAGTTTTTTTAGGCTTAAAGTTTTTCTTATAAAATGTCACAGACTTGACATAGCAGAATATAACTTGCATTGCTGAAATCCTTGCAAGACAGCAATTAATTTGAGTATAAATATCCCATAGTTTGCACAAGAGAAATTTTTTTTTAGTCTTTTAGCTTAGTACATTTGAGTATAAGTTGTACACTAGAGTAATATTTTGCTAAAAATTATGGCTTTTTCACAGGGAAAAATCATAGGAAGATAATATGAAAAGTTCACGCAGGTTACTACATTAATCCAAGTTTGAAGTTAAACAAAACTACCACAACCACACAGTTGTGACTTCATGACAACACAACTGCAGAGCTTTGAAATCTGACAACTGTGACATCACTAAATGGTATTGACAAATCCTTAGAACAAGGCATCAGTCATGAATTACAGTATATCTTTCACTAACTCCTCATTATTATACCTAACCTAAT